CCTCCACCACCTGGGCTACAGCTAACCGGGCCTCCACCACCTGGGCTGCAGCTGGCTGGGCCTCTACCACCTGGGCTACAGCCAACCGCTCCTCCACCACAAAAAAAGGAGAGAAATCCTGTTTTTAAAAAACATCGGGCATCTAAGATTTTCCATACACTTAATCAGGCAAAAACAATCTGGGATCCGCAAGCTAAACCAAAAGGCTTGTTAGGCGGACACTTGAATATACGGAGTATGGCATCTAAAAATGAAGAGCTTCAACATCTGCTCTGCAACTCTAACATCGACTTTCTGGGGCTCTCTGAAACCTGGTTATCAGACAACTCTCCAGATTCAGTGGTAACTATGCCAGAGTATAATGTATATAGGAATGACAGGGCACATGGGAGGGGTGGAGGTGTTCTTCTCTATGTTAAAAGCGCTCTAAAATGTAGACGGATAAACTGGCCAGAAGAAATCCAGCTCGAGTATGTGGGTGTAGAAATCTCACTCTCACCTGCAATGTCTTTTATTGTAATTTGCTTGTATCGTAAACCATCTGCTAAACTGGATTTTTATAACAACTTAAAACTTCTTCTTAATCATTGTGATTTAAATAAAGAAATTATGATCATTGGAGATTTTAATGTAAACTGGAATGATAAGAAAGCTAGAAAGAACCTGAAACAAGCCACTGAACATTTTAATTTTAAACAGTTAATAGAACAACCTACTCGAATAACTTCACACTCCAAAACTTTGATAGAGTTGCTTCTTGTAAATAAACCTGGAAGAATTATCAAAACTTTTAATTACGTGACTGGGTTGTCTGACCATAATGCCATCTTCTTTTCAAGAAAACTTACGAAAAAACGTTTTAATGATTCATATAGGCCAAATGCAAAAGTCTCACCCAAAACAATAATTCCCAAAAAATTACTACCAAATCTAGTGGAAGCTCTGCAAAGTTGTGATTGGAACGAAATCACTCAAAGTAAAGATGTTGAAAATAGCAGCTGCCTATTTCACAAGAAATTTAACGAACTAATGTTAAACTTTACCAAAAGGGGAAGCCACAACAAAAGAAAGAGAAATCTATTACCATGGATGAATGAAGAATGTAAGAAATGGATGAGAGACAGAGATGAGCAACTAAAAAAATATATGAAATCCCGTCTCATCACAGACAGGCATAAATTTACCTCACTAAGAAATAAGGTTACTCAAATTATGCGAAAGGTTAAAGCAACTTTTTTCATGAACATAATTTCCGAAGCAAATGGAAATTCCAAAAAGATCTGGCAAAGTTTAAATAAATTAACAGGAAAGGATAAAAAAGCTAAACAAGAAATTGAGCTAAAAATGAACAATATTGCTGTGACTGATCCAGATCTACTGACAAATGAATTTAATAATTATTTTCTAAATTCTGTGAGAGAAATAAGTGAATTATTCCCATCTCCTGATCTTAAACCAAGGTCCATTGATCTCACACAGCCTGTTTTTAATTTACGTGAAATAACAGGGCCGGAAGTGTCCAAAATTATTGGTTCACTAAAAAATTCGAAAGCTAAAGACATTCATGGACTAGACACTCATATCCTAAAATTATGCAAAGAGTCCCTTATTGCTCCAATAACACACATGGTTAATTTATCCCTTAAACAGAGAATTGTCCCATCATCCTGGAAACTGGCCACAGTCACCCCAATCTTTAAATCTGGTGACAGTACAAATATATCCAATTATCGACCAATCTGTATACTTCCAGTTATTTCCAAGGTTGTTGAGAGATGGGTAGCAAATATTATAAATGAACATTTAAATAATAGTCCCTTTAACCTACATGCAATGCAATTTGGCTTCAGAGCAAACCACTCCACTGAATCAGCAAACGGCTTTTTTATAGAAAAGGTGAAAAGTAATTTGGATATATACCCCTGTGTTGGTGCAGTGTTCCTTGACCTTAAAAAGGCTTTTGACACTGTCAACCATGAAATTCTTCTAACAAAATTGTCAGACTTCAATTTCTCGCCAGAGGCAATTCAGTGGCTTAAATCATACTTATCCTCAAGAAAACAATGTGTAAAAATTGATAGTATAAAATCATCAGTCTTGGATGTCTCTGTCGGTGTGCCGCAAGGATCAATACTTGGTCCCTTGTTATTCTCCCTGTACATAAATGATCTTCCCAAAACATGTAATAATGTGAATTTTCAAATGTATGCAGATGACGCTATAATTTATACTCATGCAAAGACTATTAAAGAGGCAGCTTCTATTCTGACCTCAGCCATGGAGCAAGTAAATGACTGGCTTTTTAAATCATGTTTGCTTCTCAATTCCAAAAAAACCGTCTGTTTGTTTTTCTCAAAGCAATCAAAAGAAATAAAAAGCTCCGGCGTATTCTTGAGAGGAGAAGAATTACAACTTGTCACAGAATTCAAGTACCTTGGCGTGATACTCGATTCCACTCTGTCCTTCAAAAATCATATAAAAAAACTTGCCAATACTGTCAAATTTAACCTTAAAAATTTTAAACAAATCAGGTCTTTTTTAACACTTGGTGCTGCTAAAATGGTTCTCCACTCAATGATTTTATCTCACATTGAATACTGCATCACAAGTTGGTCTCTCACCACAGTTACCAATTTAAAATTAGTTGAATCACTCTACAAAATATCTCTTAAAGTGTTTGACCAAAAACCCAATTCTTTCCATGTATGCAATATTTTGAACAAATACAATCTTTTTAATTTTGAAAATTTCATAAATTTTAAGTATGTATGCTTAACTTATAAAGCGCTACATGGACTAGCCCCACCTCCTGTGTCTACCCTGTTTAAACTTAAGACTTCCAATGGGCCGAGAACCAGGGCCTCCTCCAGAGGAGACTGTGAGGTCCCTCACAGAAGAACAACTTTTGGTCAGAACACTCTCTCTGTGAGAGCCTCTAACATCTGGAACAGTCTTCCTCTGCACATACGGGAGAGCCCCACACTGACCAGCTTTAGAGCTCAACTTAAACTCTGGATGAAAGCAAGCCAGTCATGTGACCACTAAAATGTAAACTTTTAATTGTGATGCTTGTATTGTTTATTATATGTTATTTTTTAACTAGGGACTACGGATGAAAATTAGCTTTGTAGCTACAATCCGGCATATTTACATTTGTTTTCACTGATGTCCATTAATGTGCTCTGTCCCTATTCAAATAAATAAATAAATAAAATAAATAAAAACAAAACCCCCGTCCACCAGAGCCCTGATCCCATACTCGGTCACCTAGCACAGGTCCAGCAGCTGCCCCTGAGAACCCACCCACCACCACATGTCAGCACCATCCAGGGCACAGTGAGTAACCCCGAGCGCCAGGTGCCCCCAATCTCAAAGCCCCAACATTCAACCCCAGAGCCACCTAGAGCACTAAGGCCATGACCACCGACCCCACTAAGTGATAGAACTAATCAGAGAGGACCAGAGAGCAAAGGTGTAAGTCAGCTGATGTTTTGAGGAGGCGGATGTTATTTCAATACTGATATTATCCCCCAAAAAATTCTAAACTGGTTAATAGATAGTTTTTTCTTTGATTTCCAGTTCAAGACAACAGCTTCCTTTGCAATACATAGGGCAGTGATTACTATAAGTGCTGAATTACTTTCAATGATGGTGCCACCAAAGTTACCTAGTAAACACAGTCTGGGATTCTGGAGCAATACACATGAGACATGTTGACAGTTACTCACAAACCTCAATCCAGAATTTCTGGATGGTAGCACAGGACCAAAGCTTCCATATAATCATAGGGCGTGTTATCTGTGTTGTAAATTCGGGTTTCTAAGTATTCTACTCACTGAGAAACACAGGTGCAAACTTATGATGTGAGCATAAAGATCACCACCAACACATGTTAATCCATGACATACAACTGTCTTTGGTTTTGAGCGCGGCTGATTTACAGACTTAGCCCTTTTTTTATTTCTTATTTGACATTATACTCCATGTCCTCACAAGCACGTCAAATTCAGAAAGTCATCAAGACCAGTTTTTTTATAACCTCTTGCCATTTGTCTGAGTGCTGTTGTTTTGTGATAAGATATATTACTTTACTTTCAGTTATTTAGTATTGTAATATACCTCTTCTTATCCATTAAATGGAGACATTTTGTCTGAACTTTTTCTCTTAGTGCTGTATTTGATACAAATGATCACTGTTACAGATACTTGAAAATGTCATTTTGGTTAAGGGGTTCGTTTAAGTCATGTTCATCTGACGGATTCATGTTTGTTCATGTAGATGAAAATGTTTCCTCATACACCAGAGTAAGTCATGGAGTCTCTAGGTTCTGTGCTTGGACCGATTCCTTTCATTAGATACTGTCATGAATGGAGGCTGATGATGTAGTGAAGGGAGGGATCCAATTGCAGGGTCCAGGGAGGGAAACACAGTGATCCAGGAACTAATCAATTTACAACAACATCAAAAGGTGGAGCAGAAGCTGGCTACAGAATAAACTAGACTGTGAACAAACCAAAAATAAGAACTAACAAATCAATGCAGAGAAATCACATTAACAAGGTTTTGGATCTGGCACAATGTGAAATTATCAAGAAGCTTTTGTACTGTAGAGGGGGGCGTG